TCATTAGCCAAAATCGAAGCACTCACGCAGTAAAGAAAGAACACAAAAATACAGAGTATGATACATCTTTTGACTCTAATACAGAAATCACATTGAAACAAACTGATAGCAGGAAGAAAGCACATCAATGCAGGAAATGTGGGAAATGCTTCAAGACTCACTCAAGCCTCATTAGGCATCAGAGAGCCCATAACAGAGACAAGTCCTATAAATGTTTAAAATATAGTAAATCTTTTCTGCATTTTTCACAACTCAAGGTACATTACAAAATCCGTTGTAGAGAAAACCCCTACAAATGTACAGACTCTGGTAAGTGCTTTTATGATATATCAAAGTTTAAAAGACATTATAAGATCCATATTGGAGAGAAACCTTTCAAATGTAGTGAATGTGACAAATCCTTTGCCAAAAAAGGCAATCTTATAACTCATCAGAGAATCCACACAGGAGAGAAACCTTTCAAATGTAGTGAATGTGACAAATCTTTTACTACGAAAGACCATCTTAGTACTCACCAGAGAATCCACACAGGAGAGAAACCTTTCAAATGTAGTGAATGTGACAAATCATTTACCACAAAAGACAATCTTAGAACTCATCAGAGAATCCACACAGGAGAGAAACCTTTTAAATGTAGTGAATGTGACAAATCCTTTACTGAGAAGGTAACATTTACAATTCATCAGAGAATCCACACAGGAGAGAAACCTTTCAAATGTAGTGAATGTGGCAAATCCTTTACCACAAAACACCATCTTAGAATTCATCGGAGAATCCACACAGGAGAGAAACCTTACCAATGTAGTGAATGTGACAAATCCTTTACTACAAAAGACCGTCTTAGAATTCATCAGAGAATTCATACAGGAGAGAAACCATTCAAATGTAATGAATGTGACAAATCCTTTGCCGCAAAAGGGACATTTAGAATTCATCAGAGAATACATACAGGAGAGAAACCTTACAAATGTAGTGAATGTGACAAATCTTTTAATGAGAAAGGCCATCTTCAAGCTCATCAGAGAATCCACACAGGAGAGAAACCTTACCAATGTAGTGAATGTGACAAATCTTTTATTACGAAAGACCAGCTTAAAAGTCATCAGAGAATCCACACAGGAGAGAGACCATACGTATGTAGTGAATGTCACAAATCGTTTATCACAAAAGATCATCTTAGAACTCATCAGAGAATCCACACAGGAGAGAAACCTTTTAAATGTAGTGAATGTGACAAATCCTTTGCAAGTCGCCAACAACTTCGAATACATTTGAAAAGACATAAAGGTGAGAAACCTTACAAATGTAGTGAATGTGAGAAATCCTTTACTGAGAAAGCAGCACTTAGAAATCATCTGAGAACACATACAGGAGAAAAACCTTACAAATGTAGTGAATGTGACAAATTTTTTACTACAAAAAGCAGTCTTAGAATTCATCAGAGAATACATACAGGAGAGAAACCTTACAAATGTACTCAATGTGACAAATCCTTTACCCAGAATTGGACATTTAGAACTCATCAGAGAATACATACAGGAGAGAAACCTTACAAATGTACTGAATGTGACAAATCATTTACCAAAAAAGGAACATTTAGAACTCATCAGAGAATACATACAGGAGAGAAACCTTACAAATGTACTAAATGTGAAAAATCCTTTACAGGGAGTGGCAGTCTTACAACTCATCAGAGAATCCACGCAGGAGAGAAACTTTACAAATGTAGTGAATGTGACAAATCCTTTACCTGGGGCTCATCTCTTAGAATACATCAGAGAATACATACAGGAGAGAAACCTTACAGATGTAGTGAATGTGACAAATTTTTTACCTGGGGCTCATCTCTTAGAATACATCAGAAAATACATACATTAGAGAAAGATTAAAAATGTAGTGAATATGAGAAATCCTTTTCTGTTGGTTTAGCTTTTAGAATGTGTTCTGGGATATTTGATCACACTATGAAATCTGAGTGTTACTAATATCAACCTTAGATCGGGAATATCATAAGTTTATGCAGAGCGAAAATGAAAATGTAGGACAATTTTCGTCAACTTTTTGCCTGTTCAATGTCGAATACTTCATGATGAAGACAAAATGCAGTAACCTCAAGTATATGCTCTTTAACAGTTTCCCGGAGACTGGAGTGATACATTCTGAGGGAAGTTGATTAAGGCAGGGAATACACCACTCAAAACAGATTCAAGGGGGCTGGAGAGATGGCTCAGAGTTTAAGAGCACTGGTTGCTCTTCCAGAGGTCCTGAGTTCAATTCCTAGCAACCACATGGTGGCTCACAACCATCTACAATTAGATCTGGTGCCCTCCTCTGGCCTGCAGGCAGAACACTCACTGTATACATAATAAATAAATCTTAAAAAACAAAACAAAACAAAAAAAAAACAGATTCAAGAAATCTCTGAAACCTACAGAATTCAGTCATCTTAACTTGAAGAAAGAGAAATCATGCCCCTTGGAAGCGGATTTTAGCCATCAATATAGGATGCTCTTTAGATATGCCTGCAGACAGGTGTGCAGTGTGTAGCAAGGGTTTATTATTCAGAAGCAGTATCACATTCTGGTTTCAAGTCATGATAGCAACTATGTTTGATTCCCTTATGCTCCTGTAAGTAACTGCTTCCCCATATTCCTGTAAGCAATTCCAATAAAGCTCATTGATTAAAAAAAAAATTGAATTGGTTCTGTTTTCAGTTTCTAGTTGGGGTGAGTAGATCCATATGCATGTTGTATCTCCCCAGGAAATGTTTCTAATAAATATGTGCTGGACCCACTAATTGTTCCACCAAACATTTTGTAAACAGGAAAATGATAATACAATAGCAATTCTCAACCTGTGGGCCATGACTTTTTGGGATTAAAAGACCCACTCACAGGAATTGCCCAAGAGATAGGAAAATATATTTTCAGTGGTCTTAGAAACTGAGATATGATGCTTCTGTTGTCTAGGCAGTTCTGCCCACTTGCAGATACACCCACATAGAAGTGAATGAAACTGTATTAAAGGCTTGCAGCATTTGGGAAGTTGGAACCACTGTATTGGAGAAAAGGCTTATTGGAGTCTACAAAAAATTGGAAAGTTTGTACTCACTGCTGCAGGGTTGCATGCATAGCAGTACTTCGTTAAGTTATAAAAGGCTTCACACAATGTAGAGACTTTGGAAGTCTCAGAAGGCAGCTTTCTCCCGTGCATTCAAGGAGCAGTGGGAGAGAAGTCTGTAAAAGGACAAATGAAAATACAGCTATTAAACTGTTACTGACAGACATCATCCAAACTGGATTGTATTCCTGAATAGCTTGAACTCATGCTAATATCCCATGATTTAGCTAACTCCAGTGACTTTCAGAACAGTGCTACCCAGGGGCCTATACTACAGACAATTGAGGTGTGCTTGTGTCTACACATTCTATACCATATCACCGCATTCTACAAGCCCCAAGATGAATTTCAATTTTTTTAAAGCCTCCCCAAAATGCTAGTATAGAAATCCCAGATTATTCATGTGAAACAAAACTCAAAAATATTTGCTAAGGACTTAACCTTCAGCTTAATATGTGTAAGTCCATGCAAGAAATATGAGGCTTTAATGAGATAATCTATGGACACAATACAATGTACACATGCTCATTTATATTTTAGAAATCCACAAAAGTGTGCTGTAAAGTCAATTTGACATACTGAGAAGTGATGAACAAGTATCTAGTTGTCTCCAAAGCATTATGTTAGAATATTGATACTAAAACCAAGAAGACTCAAAGTTTGTTCTATAGATAACTCAGGGTATTTCAGTTAACAAATCCATATAATTACACATTTACACATTTTTTAAAAATGTATTTCAGTACAAACAATGTCATATTCAACCCATGAGAAATTTTTTTTGAGAATATTTTGGTGTTGTCAGTATTGGAGTTTATTGAAACAGGAGCTCGTGCTTGGTACAATTGTGACTAAATTCAGACTGTTGTATTCAGATGACCATAGATAATTTCTTTCAGTTACTGCTGCATCAGGGGTGTTGGACCCAAGACCGGAGACAGTGGAAAGTTAGTTTTCTGGACCGTCCCTTAACCATCTAGAGATTGCAACCAGCTGGACAGACTCTGATGATGAGTTTCCAAATTCAGGTATTCAATGGATAGAGATCCCTCTGCTTGATGACTTTGAAATCCGTATTCTAAATTAGTACTGATTTCCAATATCGTGGTAAAATTTTAAACTTGTGCACAATGAAAAGACATATCCCATTGTATCTCTCACACTATAGATTTCTTCATTTTGTAACTATTTATACACACGGTTCTTGTCTATGGTGGTAGCAAGCATGTGATGAGGCTGTACAAAATGGGACCAGGTATCCTGACAGCTGGAACTGTGTAGAAGAACATGGACAGAGAGGGTCATGTGCAAATCAGTGATGCAGGAACAATCACTATATGATTGCAAATGAAGCAGAGGCCTTTGTGGGATTGGAACATTCAACAGCATTTGTGGAATGTCTGGTAAGAGCCAGACATTGCCCTCAGCAGCAGCTCCAGCCCTAATTACATCACAGCATAGGTGGCAGCATAGGCCTCTGAGATCAAAATGTCCCCAGCAGCTACAAGGCCCTTGGATGCCAACATGGCCACAGGTAGTGGCTGAGGGCCCAGACATTCCCCAGACATCTGTATGACCTTTGGTGGCAACACAGGCCATAGCCATCAACACAGGCCTTGGCTGCAGTAGGACAGCAGACACAGACATGATCCTCAGCATCTACCTGGGCCCATGAGACACCATTGCCCTCGGAGCCAGTTCAGGCCAGCAGCAAGATGGGCCCCAGACACCAACATGGACCTAAGTGACAGCCCAGATAGACCCCACACATCCGCATAGCCATCCGTGCAAACAGGAACCAAAGACATCAACACAGGCCCTGGCTGTGGT